CCAGCCACTGGCAGCTGCCAGAATCAGACTGGCAGCTGCCACCAGCCACTGGCAGGTCACATGACCTGTCAGTGGCAGCTCCTGCCAGCCAGTTGAAGATTGAACCCCCACTCCAAAAAAATGCAGATGAGCTGAAGGCCACTGTCAAAGAAACCTACCTGGGCTTCCATACCACCTCAGCAGTACCACAAACTGATCACCTCCATGCCACGCCGAATTGAGGCAGTAATTAAAGCAAAAGGAGCCCCTACCAAGTATGGAGAACATGTACAGTAAATTAACATACTTTCCAGAAGGCCAACAATTCACTAAAAATGTTTTTTTTATTGGTCTTATGAAGTATTCTAATTTGTTGAGATAGTGAATTGGTGGGTTTTTGTTAAATGTGAGTCAAAATCATCACAATTAAAAGAACCAAAGACTTAAACTACTTCAGTCTGTGTGCACTGAATTTATTTAATACACGAGTTTCACAATTTGAGTTGAATTACTTAAATAAATGAACTTTTCCACGAAATTCTAATTTATTGAGATGCACCTGTGTATATATATATATATATACACTTTTTTTTCCTTCACACACACACACTTAGGACATGGTTTTGGGGTAAGGACAGACAATGTCATTTCCAGAGGGGATGAGAGTATAGCAGTAACGGTCTGGTTCTCACCTGGCAGTGTGTGTAGGTAGCATCATTGTAGTGGTAGAGGAGAGCCAGCACGATGCAGGCGATGAGGCCGAGCAGAGGCAGACACACTGTGATCACCGCTAACCGGGTGAAAGGCAAACGGATGAGAGGCTTGTCTCGATCCACAGATCCGTACGGGACCTGTTGCATCTTCCCTCAACCAATTACCGCTCCAGATGTGTCAACAGCTATAGACCGACGACAGGCATGCCATTGAAAGTGCACTGATGTGATGACAGCGTCTCTAAACTACATGTCTGATAATTAGCCCGAGCTGAAGTATTAACGTGGCTGTAGTAGGACTTGAGTTACATGCTTAGTACTCCACTCGATCAAAACGTTGTTAAAAGTCTAGATTATCCGACTGCTACTCTCGGATGTAAATACATTTATATGTCTATGGCTACTCTGGATGTGTGACTACAGTTCGCGAACACTTCCGGTTCCGTGGAGCTTATAGATTCCAAAATAAAAGTCCCCGTACTGCGGGCACTCCCTTTTAAAAAAAATTGTAATCAAATTTTCAAAATTTTCTGAAACAATACCGTAACAGAAACAGTAATATATTTGCACATTACTCACTACTTAAAATACAGATTTTTATATGCAGTCACATATCAATTTCTAGACCCAATCCAATGTAAAAAATGATTTTTATTCAACATAGTGCTTTTTCTTGTATTTTTCACTGACCACATATATTTAGGTAATGTAGGCCATTCCTTGGGGGAAAATGATCTTTACATTGGCTACATTATGTTCCCCTTCCATAGGACTGTGTACAATGAAGCACTGATCCATTCAGGTCCAGTAAATATATCATTCTTGCACCAGAGAAACAAAAAAACTCAAGACCATTAGGTACTCCACATCAAATCCACAGTGATATGACAGTCTTAATAATGTAACATGAACAAAAACCAACCATACTGACATGATTAAATTTTTTTTTACTGTTAACAGACATCCAATCACATCGCTTCCAGTCAGTACATCGAATCATGGGTTGTTTTTGTCAACCTGGTGCATCGCTGTATATTAAAAATGGGCCCTCAGTTTGTGTTAAATACAACCAAATAATTTTCTTTTGAAGAAAAACAAAACATGAGGGACTCATCCACTGCCCTGTCTTTGAAATGACAAAACAAAAAATAGCACTCTCAAAGTTGTAGAGAGGACTAAAGAAAATATCTGCAAATTCTGCAGACAGACCAGATTAGTGGGAGTGTGGGAATGTGTAAGTATACATGTTAGGGTCTATTGGCCCAGTCTAGCACAGATGTTCTCCAACTCTCTTCCACAGTGTTCATCATTCCTCCTATTCCCACACTTCCTACAGTAGGAGTCAGTCAGGAGTCACTGTCTGAGCCGTTGCTGCTGTCCCGACTGATCTCAATCTGCAGCGAGGGCAAGTTGTCCAGTCGGCTTTTCTTCATCTTGTTGGACTGCTGCTCCTTCTGCTTGATCATTGCTCCCCACATCTTCTGCAGCTGAGTGTCATCCTCTTCATTGCCATCAACTCCGTCAGATTCCTCGTCATCCCGTCGCCTTATTCCTCTTGAGGAAGATGCTCGGGCAGAAGCCTTGTCCTCTTTTTTGTCGTCCCTATGAGACGGGCCGAGGCGGCTCCACAAGCCTCCTGAATAAAAACAATTACTATTAGTATTAGAAAAAAAAGTGAAGAGAACCAAAAGGGCATTGACTCCAACTATACCCGTTTTCTTGTCTTTCGAGGACTCCAAGTAGAGACCACGGCTCTCGTGCTTTGCCACTCCGAGTCGGCTGTGCACGTCAGTCAAAGGCTCTCTCCGAGACACTGCCTTTCTAGAGATGACGGGAGAGACAGAGCGACGTCTCTCCGGAGAGTGTGGTCTTTTGCCTAATCTCTGTCTCACATCTGTGGAGAGAAAACGCGTACTTTCATTGCCCACATTTGCTCAGCATGAAAATGATCAAACTTAAAGGGATAGTTCACCCAAAAATGAAAATTTGATGTTTATCTGCTTACCCCCAGGGCATCCAAGATGTAGGTGACTTTGTTTCTTCAGTAGAACACATATAATGATTTTTAACTTTAACCGTTGCAGTCTATCAGTCGTATAATGCATGGCAATGGTAACAAAATCTATGAGAGTAAAAAAAACATGCACAGACAAATCCAAATTAAACCCTGCGGCTCGTGACGACACATTGATGTCCTAAGACACGAAACGATCGATTTGTGCCAGAAACCGAACAGTATTTATATAATTTTTTACCCCTAATACACCACTATGTCCAACTGTCTTTGAGCGCGCGCAGGCATCCGGTGCGTACGCGCTCTGGCTAGTTTAAGCGCCGGAAGTGATCCCTCGCGCTTATACGTCACTCATTGTTTACACAGTGCACAGTCATTGTAGGTACGACGGCTAATCAAAATGGTACTTACTTGCTTGTTCAAACCGACTTAAAACTAAATGATTACGCTCTCTCGAACGAACTCATTTGGGAGTGGTGACTTTCCACGTATTCCCAACTTCTGAGCCTGCTCGCCTGAAGTTATGGTTGCTTGCTCTTCGGCTGGATATCAACACACCCAATAATGTAAACTATGCCAGAGCGCGTACACACCTCACGCACTGGATGCCGTGCGCGTGCCCAAAGACAGTTGGACATAGTGGTGTATTAGAGGTAAAAAATGACATAAATACTGTTCGGTTTCTGGCACAAACCGATCGTTTCGTGTCTTAGGACATCAATGTGTCGTCACGAGTCGCAGGGTTTAATTTGGATTTGTCTGTGCATGTTTTTTTTAACTCTCATAGATTTTGTTACCATTGCCATGCATTATACGACTGACAGACTGCAACGGTTAAAGTTAAAAATCATCAAATGTGTTCTACTGAAGAAACAAAGTCACCTACATCTTGGATGCCCTGGGGGTAAGCAGATAAATATCAAATTTTCATTTTTGGATGAACTATCCCTTTAAGCAATCCTGTAGAATTCAATTCAATTAAAAAAAAAATCTAATTTGTGACATTTTTTTAAACAAATAAAATTAATATTGTGTCCATACAGAACACACCAATAGAATCTCTAGTAGAATAATCAATGACAAATGATTCATTTGAATGAAATACCCTGGGGCACACATTCAAATGCAAAACAGGGTAACTACAAGCAGTTTAAAATACATACATATTTTATTCATTAAATACGTATTTACTGAATTTGGTTTATTTAATAGCATATCAATAAATAAGTATTATAATGGTTTTAAAGAAAGGCAATAAAAAGATTATTGTGCCAAAATGAGTAAAATCTATATCTGAATGTGTTAAATAATGTTTTTAGATTTTCCGTACTATGACAGAGCGGCCCAGAGAGAAGCCACAAGATTTGATGTTGCATTAAATTCCAGATACAGTTTGTGTAACCAAAATACCAATAATATCAAGGAACAATGTTTTATGCATAATGCAGACTTTTAATTATAATCAAGCCCAAAATTCACTGGGACCATTATTTTGAAATGTTTATGCTTGACTACTTCCAGCAGCTTATTCAAAGAGATGGAGATAAAATATGCACTCTTGCAACCATCTACAACATATTACAATTAGGGATGTCACTTTTCGATCATTTCCATGATCGATTGTCGTTTAAATTGACGATCAATGAATCGATTAATCGTTAACCTTAATACTGAAAAATGCGTCTATGCATGACAGGATGTGAAAAAGTTACTACCCCCCCCCCTTCTCACCCGATTTAAAGGGGATTTAGTCTGAATAAAATGCTAGTAGCAGGATTGTAAAATGAATAGATGTGATTATGTTCATTTGATAAAATGAAGAGAGCTCGTTTGAGATCATTTTACTTTAGTGACTGTTTCCTATCCCATCACGGAGACCGCTGAACGCGCCTCTTTAAATGGTTTAGTGGTGCTCGTTGTTGTATTTTAAAACACAATTGCAATGTTTTCAACTGACATTATGATCCCAAACGTAACTGTGGTGCGTGTGGCTGTGCTGTGCAGTCAGTGAACCGCTTCCATCAGCGCTGCTGCAGCAAAACACACTGTTGCTCACATCAAACATTATTATGCGAGTATTATGACCAGTACTTAACTTGATCCTGCTGGATCCTGTTCTGGAAAATGTCAGATTTTGAATTTTTGCATTGCGGAAGGCCTATTTGTTTTTAAAAATCCGGCATTTACAGTGCATTAGATCGTGACAGTGCATGCGTGCATGTATGAGGACGGAGCGAGCGCGGGTTTGGCTAGATGTATTTGGAGCTTATTGCTCACGTCTCATTTGGCACAAATTCAAATGTTTCCATATTCGTAATGTATTTGAATGTTAAACTATTATTTATAATGTAAACTAGGCTTGTACTTTACACGCATTCGCATATAGATGAAAAAGATCATCCTCTTCACATGAGCAAAAACGTCCTTGTCATAACAGCAGAGTGGACCGGTATACTACAGTCTATTTAAACTGACCAGTGTAACCTTTTATATGTTTGGTTGACTATTTTATTTTGATAATGAACAGACTGCGATGTAAGTTTGAATTGCTAGAATATGTGGGGTGTGTGCGCGTGAGGTGCCGGCGCGATCGAACAGCTGAAACATAAAAAACTTGTTTATGGAGTGCCGCGCCACACTTCTGTTTTAAATCTGTTAGCTTAATTATTTAAGCCAGATATATTTCGCTTTTTTTTTTTATGAAAACAAAATGTTAGTTTTATTTAGGCCTATTGCTTACAAAGGCTATACATTTTCCTTAAAGCATCCCATTTTGTCCCAGGGCTTGAAAACCTGTGCCTAGGCTAGTTAGGTCCTGCAGAAACTTGTGAACGATGCTCGTAGTTATGGCATCACTGTTTCACGCATCATTGAATGCTCCGGGAAAACGTATAGTCAGTGTCGGTCACAGCGCCTTTTAACTGCTGTATTGAATCCAGTAATTATTTATTTACAAATTATAAGCTCTGATTATGACAAGTGTGGTATAAAAGCTTTGATTATTACAGGAATAATTGGTTAGGTGGAAAATCTTACATCGCGACCATGCTTTTGGATGCCGTTCAAGCCCATATAGCCTACATTTATGCGGCTTGGTTCTGGTTTGCCGGTTGGTCACGAATTTACACAAATTCAATAATATTTAGGCATTGCCACAAATTAATAAGTCGTAGGAACGAATTAACAAGTTGTAGGAATGAATAGCCAATCTGGCCTGTGTCCCGCAGCCCTGCAAAGTGCAGAGCCCGATATGAAAGAATTATCTGGGGAAATGACTGTTACTACATTTCTATTGCTTTCCATGTTGAAGAACTTTGTGTTGTTTCTATTTTAATGTGCTTTTAAAGTTTAAATCACATTAAAAGCTTAATTTGTACTTTATGAATGAATGATGATGCATTTATATACCGTCACTCACAGCCGCTTGCACGTGTTTTGCGCACGAG